GCTGGTGCTAAATGCTGAGCACCGACAGGATGGAGGAGTTTCAGAGCGAGGAAGAGGAGCCCTGGTACGACCAGCAGGACCTGGAGCAGGGTAAGGATGGGAGCACCCCGCAAGCTGCCAGGGATGGCGGGCCAGGGGGACGCGGGGGGCAGAAAAGGGGGCAAATCCCGGGTACAGGAGGGTGGGATACCTTCTCTCAAGACTCGTATTTGCCTGGTAAAGCCAGCGCCTCGTCCTGCGGCGGCACCTCTGTGGAAATCTCAGCTCTGCTGTTCCAAGCCACTGTCCTGGCCGTGGAAAGTTTAAACTCGGTGGATAGAGGCAGGGAGCCCAGATCGGTCCTGAGCACTGGGGAGGGGGTAAAAAATTTGGTGTGTTACATCCACAAGGAAGCTGGATCCCCAGAAAACTTGCTGCAGGCAGAATCAAACACGGGTAGTTATGACATTGCTTTCATCTCAGAGCAGCTGCAGGCAGAGTTAGCAGGCACACTGGTTAGAAATTAATATATTGGAAATAATGTGTTGCTAAGATGAGGATGGCAAAAGCATCTCCCAAACAAGCCTAATTCCAGAGGGATCTTCAGCTTCTAAGTCACCTCATTACTTCTGGAGATTTTTCCAATCAGCCATAAAAGCAGGAAAAAACGAGAAGGAGGAAAACAAAAATAAATCAAGGGCAAGTTTCAAACAGCAGAAATAGCCTTGTTAGAGGATCAAAACAAACTAAACAAGGGAATGTTTGAGTAACTGTACCTACGTTTGCACTAGTTCTGTGTAATGTTTATCCTAAGGCTGGACAGTTGGTGGCTGCAGCTATTTGGGGCTTCTTTTTTTATTTTATTTTGCTTATCTTAATATTTTGAGTCAACACACAGTAAGTAAATAACTGGAAGAAGTCCTGTTTCAGGCCAGTGGCCCAGGAATGAACTAAACTGATTTGTCAACGCATAGGGAAAAATCATTCCTACCTATATACCGGACCCCTCAACGCGCTGCACTATAGGTACGGTACAGTTCTACGGTTGCTTTAGCCAGCCGACTGTCGGCAGGGATGTGCAGTCCAGCTGCAGTGCCTCTGCCCACCGTCGCTCCAGTACATTATGTCATGGTTTAAAGTTTACACAACTTCAGCTGCAGGGCAGAGGGCCAGCAAGGAATGATAACCAGCCCCCCAGGGATTGCTGCAGCTGGTTTTTAACCCCAATTTCTCAGTTAACAGGAAGTATCACTAGTGGGATACTGGGCCCTGTTCCTTGAAACACAACGCTCAAATTAAGCCAGGGCAGAGCATGGAGATGGAGCTATCAGCTGAATAAACAGTGTAGCCTTTGAATGCTCAGAAATTCACATTTCTGGGTGACGTCTTCCCATGGCTCACAAGGGGCCTGGGCACCAGTCCAGGGGCAGGATGCAGGCTGAGGAACAGCAAAACTACAGATTAATATAGGGAATGTTGAACAAGGCAGGACCGATTGATTCTTAGCCTAACACTGTCCCTGGTGTCAGGTTCATGAGTCAGCACTGGCACTGTACAACTGGCTCACAACAATAAAACCACCTTCCCACTGCAGGCCAGGTTCCCAGCTCTGTCCCGGCAGCGTAAATGCAGAACAACTGCCTCCAGATGATGGATTGATGCTGGGGACAGACTCCACCTTTGAGCACATACAGGACTGGAGAAAAACAGACACCCAAAACAAAGCCCAGCTGTGGAGTTGGCAGCCTCCTGCATGAGTGAGGGCTGCACAGGCTTGCACAAACTCAGAAGGAGAGCTGGAGAAGGCTTTAACTAAAATCAGCCAACTGGAAAGGTCCTATGGGGTAATTATAACTGTAATTAATTTGCATGGTGCACAAAGCATCAGGAAGGACAGTGCAAGACTTTATCCACATACACTGTGCCTTTGCATGACAGCCATGGCAGCATCCGGAGGCCGTTGGTGACAACGCAGCCGTGAAGCTGTTGGTTTGGAAATGGGGGGTGGAAGTATGGTGGAAGACATCCAGCATAGCACGATTATGAGGCAGTCGCGGGCCAGCATTACTAAGAGGATTGGCATGCCAACAGCCCGGGGTCGCGCAGAAACCCACGCCTGGCAGTAGCGCCAGGAAGGCGGAGGACAAAAGCATAGGCTTAAGGACTGTTCCTTAGGAGCAAGGGGTGGGAGAAACAAGAAGCAACCTAAGCTAGGAGAACAGAGAAGGTTCTCCTGTGACCCAGTTGGTTGCTGGGCCTTTATCGTCATTTCCACAGCATCATCAAATATTTACTACATTTACATCCAAAACTGTTTGCTAAGCAACGGATGGCTTAACTAGGAGCTCTGTGATGATTATGTTAATTAACCATTTTAGTACCACGGAGGAAATCATGCCTCCAGCTCCACTCCGAGCACCTGTTACTTTCCTCCCCATCCTCCACAGAGCTTTGGCTTGCTGAAATAACTCTGTTTTTCAAAAAATAAATACCAGTCACGCTTCCCACCACCCCCCCCCAACCCTCCCCTGAAGTGCCCACAGCACCTGATGGAATCTACCACTTGCCTTGGAGGCAGCAAGATTGGTCCCCAGCCTCAAAGCCCTTCCAGCCTCGTTCAAACGAAGCTGGTGCCTTTCAGATTAATTTACCTGTTTCCCAGCATGCCATAAGCCTGCATGGTTCAAGACATTGTACTGAGATGCCTTAGCACATAGAAGCAGAGACTCAAATCCCAGCCAGGAGACTTGGCAGTGACATGGAAACAAGTAGTGGTGTCCTCTGAGGTGTTTCATTCTTATGATGTTCCCTCTGGGAAGGTTTTCCGATTTAAAGAAAGTGGTAAAAATGGAGCTCCAATTGCTTGGTAGCGCAACTTTGCTTATTGCCAGGCTTTCCAAGTATGAATAGGTGTCAGCACTGCTTTGGTTCAGCCACAGCCTCACCTTCTGTGAGCTGGGGAATCTGTGCCTCTAAGCGTTAAAACCAGAATACAGCAATGGCAAACCTTTTTCCAGCCATTGAGAACTGATGATGTGGCTACAGTTGCATCATACCCTGTGTACAGAGTGTACATGCAGCCAGACCCCAAGAGAATGAATGAGCTAAAATTAGAGAGTCTGAGCTGGGGATAAGTGGGGACACCTTTTCTGTTCATCAGAAGCATTTGTGTTCAGAACGGCTGCGTGCCAACTCAATCGCATCTGGATCCAAACAGAGCAGAGACCAGACCCAGCAGCTATCTCTGCCAGCCACTTCCAGCCTTCATCTCCCCCACAGCAATCTCCTAAGATGAGTCTTCCTCACAGTCCCCTGCTACATTCCCTCGTCTTCCCAGCCTCCCTATCCCCTTGCCAGCATTCAGGTCTAAGCCAAAGAGCACAGAGGGCAGCCCAAGAGGAGGGCTCTCAGAGCCACCCTTGCAGTCCCTGGAGCCTAAATACAGAATACAGCCTAAGTGCTGGGGTGATTCCTCCCGTGTAAATAAAACGGCCTTGTACAACTCCGAGCTAGTCAGCAGGCCCAGAGGTAGTACACAAACCAGGACATCGTCTCATTGCCACTGTGAGACTGATAGTCCTCTCCTCCTGGGCAGCCACAGAAACTTTGAGGCCAAACCATCTGCAGTGCAGGCTTAGGACTTTACAGCTGTAACCTCTAAAGGTCTCCAGATTTAAGTATCTTATTTTAATTCCTCCTCCTCCTCCTCCTGCCAAGCATCTGATTGCTTGCATGCTAAGAAGGAAAATGACACAAGGTGCTGAGCTTGCACCACTCCTAACTCATCCGTGTAAAGACAAGGGGTCACCAGTGCTCCAGTGATCGGCCCCTGACGTTGGGACGAACCCAGAGGATCAGTGCTAGCATCCATGCCTGCCCGTTTTCTGCATCACCCAGCCATCTGGGGTGGTCCATCAAGCTTCAATTCACTATTGGCTTGCCCGAAGGCTTCACTGCAGTGGGGAGCGGCTGGTACCCCAAATTCTGTCCCTCAGGATGCAGTTATCCCAGCAGTCCAGCTCAGGGGACAAGCCACGCAGCTTCCCTGTCCTCCAGGAGCACAGCAGTTAACTCGCTGTCCTTCCCCCCCAGCAGCAAGCCAGAAGGACAGGCTTTGCCTGCAGTAGCTGAGCCACTGACTTATTTAGCAGTGCAGTACAGCAGGTAGCTTATGGAAGTGGAAAGTTTTCAGTGACTAATTGCTGAGCTGCTTGGGAATGACAAGAGGGACTAGAAAAGTCACAGGAGACAGGGAAATAAGATGACAGTTAGGTTAGTCTGAGGAAGGGATGAGAGCCTCTAAATCTGGGGAGGAAAAAAGAATTACTATATAGAAATGTATTTTCCTAGAATAAAAATTCCTGTTATGTGAAGGCAGCAAGAAAACTGGGCATAAGAGAGCCCCACACAGCAACTTCCAGG